GTTTGAAGAAATTCGATTTTTTCGCTATTTCCAAGTCAAGTTGATATTTAGGCGAAGCTGCTCTTAAGTAGCAAAAAGGATCTTTCAATTGAGGACTTTGTACCGTCCAATATAAGCGTGGTATCATCAGCATACAGGCTTATTTTGCATTCATTGTCCGAAATTTGAATACCACGAATTAATTTATCTCGTCTTACTGCTACCCCCAGGATTTCAGCGCATATTAAAATAAGAAGGTAAGGGGACAGGGGACAGCCTTGACGCAGACCTCTACCTAGATTAAAGAAATCTGAAGACCAGCCATTGTTTTGTATACTGCTGCTAATGTCAGTATAAAAATGTTAATGAAATATAAATGTTAATGAAATATTACTTCCTGACAGTGAACTTGAACTTCAAAAATGCTACGCTCCTAAACTTTGCCACAACATCTTATTCAGGTTCACACATACAAAACAGTGCTTGTAAGGGAAATCTGTAAATCGTGACATGAGCCCATGTCACGTAAAATCAATCAGCCTCACCTCTCACAGCTCTGTATGTCGCTTTGAACTTCACTGACCTATATCGACTTGCTTTGAAGCTCACCCGCATTTGACTTCCAATAGTAGAAATCTTCTCAGGTCTTGCGTGACCACAAAACAATCCAAGCTGCTGACTGTCACGGTGCACGCCGTCACGCACTTCTAGATAACTTTCGTCCTCCGTCGTAGAGCATGGCTGCGAGTTTCCAAAGTCGAAGAATATAAATTCCAGTTCAATAGAGTATTTTCTTGCCACGTAGATATACCACGTGCATTGAATATCGTCAGTGAAGAATTCTGGATAGCCAGGACTTGCGAGTTCGCCCTTCTGGGCATTCATCTCAATTTGACTGTTTTCGCCTGCTGTGTTATTTTTTGAACAGTTTGCAGAGGCTCTTTTCACTGTCAACACACAAAAAAAGTTGTGGATAAGGTGAGAAAAAGTGGGCCACTTAACAAGTGATGATGGTGGTATGGAGAACAGAGAATAAACAAATGACTTCGCGGATTACTGTAAATTACACCGCAGAGCATGTTGAAAGAGTGACTGAGTTGCGTCACGTATTGTTTGTTTGTTTTTCTATATAAAAGGAAAAAAGAATTATTAAACATCACACCACATCTTCAGCTAGTTAGGAAACGAATATTCTCTCATCCGCGAACCAAGGAAAATTAACTATACATGTATTTATAGCCAAAGATATTACTTGTGTATTTCGTGAAGAGAAGTTTCTGGTTATTTCGATCATGACAAAACAAATGACAATGACAAAACATCAGTCTTGTGAGCCATTGTAGGTGGATCCAGTATTGTTTCTTTTCGTCTGTTTTTAGTATTTTGCGTTATTTATATCCGGTGCATGAACGAGAAAACCTTTCAGTCTGAAACAAAAACACAAGGCTTAAATTGTCCCAAGATCCCAACAGGTGTAAATTCTTTCATCTCTCCCATTCCATGTGAACAAACCAAGAAGACTATTGCCTGGGTTTCCAACCCCCCGCCCCCTTCCCCGCACACAGTTAAATTTTTGGCTATTTCTCATCTATCAATTACAATTTCAGCCCCTTTCTTATTTATCAGTGGATTTTTATTATCAATCTCAGATGTCAGCTATCAGTTAAACAAGCCCGTCATTTTTCGGCTGGCAGTTAAATTTTTCACCGATATTCCACTATCAGTTAAAGCCCATCCACACCGTCTTATATTACAGGTTACTGTAGCCTATCTGCCCATTATTTACAGAAGAATTCCCAAGTTAAGGTGAACAGGTATTTGTTTTTAAAACAGAAATGCTATTCATTCAAGTCAACTCTCGATAATTAAAATTATCGAGGGCACGATAATAAACTAAAAGGCAGAAGTCAGGTCAATTATCTAGAGGATGTTTAATTTATTTTTATTTTATTATAATTTTTTAAGGTCAAGCATTTACCAAAAAAAATGATAACATTGTTTCCGCAAGAGTCGCCGACAGCTGTCAGATAATCGGCTTTGCGGTTCCACTAAGTTGTCGTTTTCTTTTGCCAACTAAAATCTTCCTTACATGTCTTAATGCTGCTCACACGCAATTCTTTTAAAAATCTTGTGTAACGATCATTCTCTAAGTTCTTTATAGCATCATAACAGATAGAAGTAGGAAGGTGATGAGAATTAGGAAGCTCAAAGAATAATATTTTTGCAAATCTTTGCTTTGTTAAAAGATTAAAAATCGCTGGAAAATTTCGAGCATTACTTTTTTCCTGTTTGAAGGTAGAAAAGGGAATTGGAAAGAAGGATGGACTACCTACAGTCTTGAGTCAGTTTGAGAAAATTAAAAATGTACCTTGTCTATCAACCGAAACGACTCATATCGGTGTGTTAATGTTCTAACAGACCCTTCACTGGATTGAATAATATATTCCCTTTACTGACTGTCGCACGATTCGTTTATTGTCGGTTCTGATATTTTCTTGGCACACCATTCTTCTGTTAATTAATTGATTAATCGATTTTCTTTATTATATATCCATCGCCTATCATCTTAATAAGTGAATTAAGTTTATCCTAAAGGAGAAATTAAAGAATAAATACGTGATATCGAAGTTATATATTTTTCTCCCGATAAAATGCAGCGTTAAACGACTGTATTTAGAGGTCGGGACATTTCCTTTATCGATTATTGACAAAAATTCTCAAGGCGCCAAACAGCCGCAAACATGAGTAAAGGAAACCTCATTTTCGATTCAACTTACACAACCTATTTCGTCAGAGCAGTAGGAGTGCCTGTAATACTCGATTCTCAATCAGTGAACATGTGAACATAGTTTATAGGCCATTTAACTGCAGACTTGAAGACGGCAGTTAGCTAAGACAGCCAAATACTCCGCCAGTCTCACTACCCACGTCTATGAAAAGAAATGAGATCCCCGTTACTGTTTTGAACTATGACAATCACTAAGGTTTTAAATATGCCAGGATTTATGTTAAACAAAAAGCTTGGAGTCTTCGTGAGAGATAAATACAGCTAAGTGCTTCTCTTGAAGATGGCGTTTTGACGCAAATTAAACAAAAGTGTAAAGGGAAATGCTGAGAGCATTTTAGCAACGGTGAACGAGATAGCTGTTCCCATTTGCCATTACCTAGCAGAGTCTGAATGGCACCAGAGTAAGTTTTGATTTGCCTAAACCCCGTGTCTTATTGTCCGATATCACGTTCTTGGTCAAACAGTCAAATTTCGGTATTTTTGGCAGGAGATAAACCCTAAATCTTTTGCCCTATTTCATCCAGTAAGTAGAACGTATTCATTCGTTTATCCTGGGCGAAAAAAAGTCCGGGAAACAGGAAAACGTTACTATTTCCTGTTTTTATCTGTTTGAAACACTCACAGACCGCAAATGACTCTCTCAAAGGAACAAAAGCGTGAGAAATAGCGATTTATCTGAAACTGGCCTAAGTGGCCATATGTTGAAAACTTTCCAGCTCTTCGATGTTCGTGTTACTACTGAGAAGATCTTGAACTACTGTATTTCAGTCAGATGTGCTCAAGAACTCGGAGATTTCTCAGTTGACTCCGTGTAAGGTCATACCAAGCAAGATCACTGTGTTGTTGTAATTTTAAAACCATTGTTTGCCTACGAAATTCCAAAAGCGTTAACTATAGCTAAGCAACACATGGTGTTGTCAAAAGCGTGCTTGTTTGAAACAAAGAAACGGAGTTTCAGTTTAATTAACGACTGATGCGTTATAACTCTAATAAACTCAGCTGATCAATAATTTTGTGACCTCTTCGAAACCTGTTCGCAGCGTTACGTTCTAGTGTGTTATCTATGCGTAGGAGCTCGAAGATTATGATAACCTATGGAAGTCAAAGAAGCACACTCTCAAAGCGAAATCACCATTTGAATGAGTCAGTACTTACTCAAGCTGATCACGGCAAGAATGAGAAGGAAATGAACATGCATCTCTGGATATTCGGCGATTCGTGGGGAATTCTAGGCTTATTGACTCCTTGCAAACCATCTGGCCATAAGAATCGCTGCCTCCAGAGACTTCATGTCGCAGAGAAGGTCACAGAAACTCGATCTCCACGATTAAACTCAAAAATAACTTCTTTCACCTATGCAAACAAATTAGGCAGATTGTTTCTAGAGACCACCACAGGGCGAAGGACAAAATTTAAAATTCTAATTGTCTTCAAGTTGACAGCGACAAAATAGAATTTCAAACATCGCGTCATATAATGCGACACTCGTGGTTACTGGATTTCAGCGGATCAAGCGAAATGTACACCTTAACTCAATCACCAACTAGCAGCGCACAAGAGCTTTCTCTATTTTCCGTTTTATATGTTTGACAGGGTGACCATCAACAAGTTGACATGTCTTGTAATGCCAAAAATAGCACGCTTTTTAACCTCAATTAAGAATCAAGTCCTTTATTGTATTTTTAATATACTTTTGCTTATCTCAGATCTCCGGCAGTCGTTTTGCAAAGTTTGTCATCGCGAGTTTGCCATTAAGCTCTTTGTTATTGTTATTATTTTTAAAGAGATTATTTGATTCGACATCAAAGATGACGAAAAGTCGAACTTCAAAGCTGCCGAGGAGATTTTAAGAAGCTTCTTTTTCTTTCTTAATCCAAAATGAAAAGATTGTTTAGTCTTTCTTGGGGATTGTGTGAATGCAATATTCTTACGTTGACCAACTTTAGCTGGCCTGACTGCAATGAACTCGTTCTCGAGCTTTTATCGAAGATTGTGGAACAAATGTCTTGAACTGTGACAATTTTAGGTATGTCAAACTCTGTTTAGGTTGCCCGTAGATCCATTTCACGGTCTTCATAATAAACAGACCGGTTTTACAGAATTTTGAAATACGGTGCTGAGTGCACTGTCGAAAACACTCAGTTCGTTTTAAAGAGAGGGATAATGAGTTTGCTCAGAGCAAAAAGCGTGCGGTCAGAGTTGTGCCAAAAAGGACTTTTTTAACAGAAATACCAGGAGTTTTTAAATTCGTTCCATTAAACCGCAATTTGACAGCAGTCACATCAGTTCTACACGCTACAGAGTTAGAGCTAATCAAAAACATATTAAGAATGACGTAACTGTCAGTTAGTGATAAAGGTGCGCGAGGTGTGATTGACGCTGTATGTCCACAGACTTGAACGCCTGGCCTGAAGGCCGGATATATATCCCGATTGGGTTTCAGCCCAGAAAGTTCATTTATGCTCAATTATTACGGCTTCCTTTTGAGTCTTAACTTTAAAAGTACCTCTACGACTTACTTTTACCGTGTAAGATAACAGTGGATTCAGCCCAAAAAAATGTCCCGGGGGATAGCGATCTCACGTAGATGTTAATGAAACTTTAGCCAGAAGAATTCTACCGATCACTTAAGTCATGTCCCGAGAAATTTAGCTGCTAGGAAATTTGTAATGGGGCTAAATATATCATTTGGCTGAATTTGGGTATATGCTATTTCCGATATCTTTTGCTCGACTTTCTTAGTCTCGACATAAGATTCAAGATGTCATGAAAGTGTTCTAAGCGAAACACCTGCATAGGCGGGATTTAAGCCCGGGTTGTAATAATTTGGGATGCTAGATTGTAAACCCACCAAAGTTTTTAGACTTGTTGTTGTTTTGGAACTAAGCAACGAAAGCACGTTTACTTCTTCTAAAACCGTTTTTTCTTCAGTCACATCGATAGTATATGGATAAAATCATTTCGTGACTTTCAAGAGCCCTGTCACTGGAGTCTCATCTCTTTCTTAATCCGCAGATTTTGACTGCAGAGCTCCTGTGGGGGGTACTCCCCTAAAATACCTGTAGTAGTATATGTCACTCGACGGCGTTGGGATTTTGGGACTCTAATAAATGAATGTTTGTAGCGGTTGATGCACTTAGCTACAACTAGTTAGTTTTCAGGCATGCCACTTAAACTTAAAGAACGGGGAGCGAGAATGGAGAATCCAAATAGGCCTCATCCAATTGAAGTTACCTTTTGCTTATCGTTTAGGGACCGTTCATTTTTTATGAGGGAGGGGGGGCTGGTGGGATTTGGGAA